AAGAGCAGTTTCTGTCAGAGCTCTCTCAGCCCCACCGACCTCACAGGGTGTCTGTTGTGGGGAGGGGGAGGGAAAGGAGACTGTAAGCCACTCTGAGACACCTTTGGGTAGTGGAGGGCGGGGTATAAATCCAATCTCTTCTTCTTCCCTCTTCTATTTTAACATCACAACAACCTTGTGAGGTAGGTTATGCTAAGAGGGTTAAATGGCCCATAGTCACCCAGCAAGCTACCATGGCAACAAAGACCTGGTTATAACATCCCTCTTTACATGGTACTATTCAGCTTCAGTAATTCTGTTCATGGGCGGGAGGGGCGGGGATTCCCCGTGTGACCCAGACAAAGGCTTATTTCAAAATGCTATCAGATTCCCATGGCAACAAAGACCTGGTTATAACATCCCTCTTTACATGGTACTATTCAGCTTCAGTAATTCTGTTCATGGGCGGGAGGGGCGGGGATTCCCCGTGTGACCCAGACAAAGGCTTATTTCAAAATGCTATCAGATTCAAAAATGTCAAAGCATGGATCTTAGTTCCAGCACTGTGGAGGCTGGCGAGGGTTGCCAGCTCCAGGCTGGGGAACTCCTGGAGATTGGGGGCCTAGGTTGGACAGGGACCTCAGTGGGGTACCATGCCACAGAATCCACCCTCCAAAGCATCCATTTTCTCCAGGGGAACTGATCTCTGTAGTCTGGAGATGAGCTGTAATCTTGGGAAATCCCCAGGTCCCACCTGGAGGCTGGCATCCCCTAAGGCTTGCTGTGGTTACTCAGTAGCAAAAGAAAGTACTTTGGTATGCTCAGAGGCCCTAGTTCTTTATATCCTATGGGGCGGAGAGCATGACGGCTCAGAAGCTGAACACTGGTAACCCCTAGTTCAAATAAAACCATCGATAACAATATTTTGTCAGTTCTAATCTATGGGATATTAAAGCCACATACTGAAAAAATGTGAAAACACAGTTTGGGGCCTTTAGTTCCCTGACTTATATTGAAAGCTTTTGAACTGTTGGGCTTGCTTGTTTTAGGGAGGAAATATGTCCCTCTTATAAGATACCATGATCCTCAACAACTGGTGAAGGATCAAAAAGTAAAGCCGCTGAATTAATCTTGGAGCAGTATGTGGCAGTTGCCTCCTCTTGTTAATTGTGCCCAGAAATTATAATCAACATTCTTGCCAGTTTTTCCTGTGGGGAAATCATACACCAGAGCGATGTTACTTGATAGGTCTGTAGAGCAACTGCAATACGATATTACAGAAAAAGGAAAAAAATATATGTTAGATCGCGCTAACAAAGGACTCGTACAGTGATTCAGCAAGTGATTCAGCTTTATTGGAAGTAACGAGCAAGCACTAACTCAGTAAGAAACCAGAACAGAAAACAGTGGGAGCTTATGCTCCTTTTAAACATAACCGGGCTAATGTAGCCACGCCTATTTACAAATGTAGGGATTTTACATTTGGCAACCCTAGTCTGACAAAGCGGCATGGTTTGGGAATAACTCAGGAAGTGCCTCCACCGTCCCTGCTTAGCTGCAAAGAGGACCCGATCCTCAGCACCTCTTACACAGAGGTAAGACCTGAGAGAACACAGACCAGAACAAACTCACTCCCAGCCAGCAGGGATCATCTTTCACAGATATAAAATAACCCAGCAGTTCTCAGAAAGGCTTTTTGGCAAGCCCAGAGCGTTTTATCTGAAACTGTCTGTGTATTTACGGACTGTGCAGCTGCTGGTTACTTATGCTTGCATTGTTTTACTTTCAGGCTACTTTCGTTATTGATTGGTTTACGACGGGTTTATGTTTTTTGTACGCTGCGCGTGGTACAGTTTAGGGAGGGGGGGGATTACAGTTTGGGATTGTTAAAATGAATAAGGAATAAAAGAAAAGAAACATGGAAACTTTCGCCCTTAACTTCTAATTTTCTCCCCCACTCCTAACACTGTTATTAACTTTTTCACTTCCGCATAGGGGATGCCAGCCTCCAGGTGGGACCTGGGGATCCCCTGGGATTACAACTCATCTCCAGGCTACAGAGATCAGCTCCCCCTGGAGAAGAATGGATGCTTTGGAGGGTGGACTCTGCGGCATTGTACCCCACTGAGGTCCCTGTCCTCTCCAGGCTCCACCCCCAAATCTCCAGGAGTTCCCCAACCTGGATCTGGCAACCCTATGGCCCCAATCCCCCACCAGTGGCCAGGAGGGGGCTGGCAGCCCTATTTCCAGACTGGGAAATTCCTGGATATTTGGGGGGAGAGCCTAGGGAGCTGGAGGGTATTTGGGGAGAGAAGGGAGCTTCCAGCAAGGAGGAGGAGGAGGAGGAGGAGGAGGAGACTGCATTTATACCCCACCCTTCACTACCCAAAGAAGTCTCAGAGCCGCTTACAATCTCCTTTCCCTTCCCCTCCCCACAACAGACACCCTGTGAGGTAGGTGGGGCTGAGAGAGCTCTGAGAGAACTGCCCTTGAGAGAACAGCTCTGAAAAAACTTGTAACTGACCCAAGGTCACACCAGCAGCTGCATGTGGAGGAGTGGGGAATCAAACCCAGTTCTCCCAGATTAGAGTCCGTGCTCTTAACCACCACACCAAACTGTATGCTTTCCTCTAGAAGCTTTATTCTCTGAATGGGGAGATCTCCAGGCACCACCTGGAGGCTGGCAACGCTAATGGGTACAGATTTACATTAGGGAGAACTCAGTGTTCAAAATATGAGGCAGGCTGCAGTTCCAGACATCCTTACTTGGGGAGTGAGCACCACTGAACGATATGGGACTTACTTCTGAATAAACACGCATTAAGACCAAGCCGCACAGTCCTATCTAAAGATGCCAGTTATGCACCCACTGAGGTCTGGCAACCAAACAGCCTTTTACTACACCTTAAAACAGTTTCTACTGATAGTGCAGACAGCAGGGCAGCTGGTCAGTTCTCTCTGGAGGCCTCCGATCCCGGGGCAGCTCAGCCGCTTAGTCCAAAGCCACTTCTAGAAGTGACGGGCCACAAAGCGCTCACCTGAAGCAGGCGCTCTTGTTCTGCCTGCCATTTTTCCTGCCTCTTTCTTTCTTTCTCTTGATCCCAAGCCCAGCGGCTAGAAGCGCTTATGGGTGGAACTGGGAGCTATAACAGAAGAGACAGAAGATATACACACACAGGTCAAGAATTTGCAAGTTTATTTATACTTTAGTTGTAGATTTTCCAGGCTGTATGGCTTGGCATTGTACGACCTGCCATTTCGCCAGCAGCTGTGACTGGCATCATCAGAGGTCTAACACAGAAAGATGGAGTACTCTCTGTGTCAAGGTGAGAAGAAAAATGGTAGGCAGGTAATTTATATCTACTCAGGAAGGTGGGGTAGGGCTGATTCATTATCTTGAAGGAGTTCCCCAGGCTGTGACATGCTAATGGAGGAGCTTTCCTGAGGCGGTTCTTTTGCATATGGATTGGCTGTTGAAATTCTAATCTTATCTGTAGTGCTGTTGTAAGATGTAGAGCATTTTGTGTTTTTCAGGACTGGAAACCATGACCTATTTATTTTTAAACTCTCTTCTTTCCTGTTGAAATCGTGTTTATGTTTATGAATTTCGATGGCTTCCCTGTGTAATCTGACATGTGTTGTCCAGCCTTTCAGTGTCTTGGAATAAGATACTGTGTTCTGTTTGAGTTAGGCTATGTTCAGCCACTGCTGATTTTTCAGGATGGCCCAGTCTGCAGTGTCTTTCATGTTCTTTTATTCTTGTTTGAATGCTATGCTCTGTGGTCCCCATGTAAACCTGTCCACAACTGCATGGCATGCAGTATACTCCTGCAGAAGTGAGGGAGCCTCTTCTGTCTTCTGCTGATCATAGCATCTGTTGTATTTTCCAGCTGACTAGAAAACCTAGTCAAAGAAGAAGGTTGAGAGGAAGTGCCCTAGGGCTGGGTTGAAGTGGCAGACAGATACATTAAGCACTGCTCAGATTCCCTTCCTGCAAATGCCCAGCCTGATGGCATGTTGGAGGCAAGGGAATGCACAGCCTGGAGGCATGTTGGGAATCCCTGTTTACCACTGCTGGGCTTGGCCATTGTGTCATTAGGGAAAAAAGGGGCATAAGTGAGATAGGTAACAACAAAATGACTTCCCACCAGGATGAGTGTCAACAACCTATTTGGTCATAAACTCTGATCATCAACATCATTTAAATAACAAGGTACTTACATCAGGTATTGCGGGTTCTGAGCCTCCTGTAGAATTGGAAGTTGTGATGAAGAAGCAACAATGAAGAGAAAAGAATATGTATTAATGTGACCTGGAAAACACTATTTAAGCATTAAGCATTATTAAGAGACTTGTCTTAGGCCCCATTTCCCTTCAGGTGCCAAGGACTCATCAAGTGCCCTCAGATAAACAAAGATTAGAGTCACATGAGACGGAAGACTTTACCTCAGGCCTTGTCTACATGTTACATTTTCACCACAGATTTCACTCTCCCCACCCCAAAAGGGAAAGCCAGGCACGAATACCAAGAAAAGACAGCAATAGCAACTCCAGGATAATCCGTCACCATAATCAGGAAAATGCTCAAAGGTGTGAACACTTTCACTTGCGTTTCGTAAAGGAAAAATTTAGACAGGGGTTCTTTACTCCTATATCTTGTAAACCTATATTATTGAAGATCATGGCTACGGTTGCCACCTCTGGGCTGGGAAATACCCAAAGGTTTGGGGGGGGGGGAGCCTGGCAAGGGCAGGTTTTGGGGAGGGACCTCGCAGCAGGGTACAGTGCCACAGAGTTCACCCTCCAAAGCAGCCATTTTCTCCAGTGGAACTGATCTCTGTCATCTGGAAGCCAATTGTAACGGTGCGAGATCTCCAGGCCCCACCTGGAGGCTGAAGCAACCCGAGCTGCAGTGTTAGGAGAGTCTAGTCACAAATAAATGTATACACTGCAAAAACCTTTTAGCAAACTAGTGTGTTCTATTTATGGTCATCATTTAGTAAAGTGCACAGTGTATCATTATTTCATCCTAGTCAGGTATAAATATTCATTACATTCAATAAGCAATAACAGCAAATGGCTATTGCCAGAAGGAGTAACATTCAAGATCAAAGAGAAGAAGGAAAAGATTGACTCTGTTCTTAAAGCTCAAGAATTTCTAAAGGAGCAGCTGGGAAGGCCGGAGGATGGGAAAAAAGAAGAGGACGGCAGGTCCAGCGGCGAGCTCGAAACTGGTTCTTCGGGCGAGGACTCTTTGTCTGAGCAGGGGGCAGCAGCCCCGAAGAGTCCCTATAAGCTGTGGAAGAGAAAAGGGAAGAAGAAGTAAAGGCTGAAGGACTCTGAATAGTGCCTTTGAGAACTTTGGTTTTTGCGGATGATTGGGGGTACTGTTATTGGGCAGTTAAATATAAAAGTGGAGGGTAAAAGGTTTTAAATGTTTGACTCAGTTTATAAAAAGAGCAATGATGAAAGACTTGATGTAACTAAGCTTGTTGGAGGATCTCCTCTCTTGGGTTTTTAGATAGTAGTGGGTTCTTTACTTTCTCCTGTATGTGTAGTTTCCTCCTTCCTTTTTTTTCTGTTGTAGTTTTTTGTAGTGATAAAAAATAAAAAAAATTCCTCTGGGCA